TTGTAAATGGGGTGTTTTCTTTTTAAAAATTTTTTATTGATTTTTAGAGACAGAGGAAGGGTGTTTGAGAGAGACACATCGATGTGGAAGTGAAACATCAATTGGCTGCTCCCTGCATGCTCCCTACTGGGGATCAAGCCTACAACCTGGGCATGTGCCCTGACCAGGAATCCAACTGGCAACCTTTTGGTGCACAGGAGGATGCCCAACCACTGAGCCACATTGGCCAGGATGGGTTATTTGTTTTTCTGATGAGTTTTTTGAGTTCTTTATATTTAGATAACAGTCCTTCATCAGATATGCCTTTTGCAAATATTTTTTCTCAGTCTGTGGCTGTTGTCATCCTTTCTGTAGCATCCCATTTTATTAAAAACACAATTATGTAACTTCATTTATCTTTTCTTATTTTTCTCTCCCATACTTAGGACCCAACTTTGCCCAGTCCCAAGCCAGCCAAAATTCAGACAAAACCCCCCAAAGCAAGAGGTAAGCAAGCCAGCAATGGGACATGTGTTACAGTTAAGGCAGGGAGAAAGCAGAGAGTGTAATGGGCCTGCAGGTAGCTGGAACTTACTGTCTCAGATCTAGAACCTGAGAAAACATGGCAGGATCATGCTAGTGTCATTGGAGAATCTGTAGCGTCCTCATTTCTGAATATTGAATTATAAAATCTTAGAAATGAATGTTTTAAATTCTTAGCAAGAAGGATAACTTTCTAGAGAAGAACCATGAGGAGAACCATGAGGAGAACCATGAGGAGAAGATGATGGGGATGGGGGAGAGGGGAGAAATATTGGGGAGGGGAGAGGAACTGAAGGAATTTACTAGATTAAGATTAGCAGAAGATGCAGGGCAGAGACTTAAATGTGGGGAATCAATGGACCCTTGAAAAGTTGTTATTTAGGGAGAAATAAATGTTCTTCATGGTGGGGGTGTGGGGTGATGCAGGCATAGCAGATGGACGAGATGGGACTCAGCAAGGGAAGTCAGTGAAGAGATCTCTTGGAAATGAACCTGCAGCTGCTCCTGTACCCATAATGGGAAGGAAAAAAGTGCATGGGAATTCAGATCCTGACCAGCCAGGTAAGGCTCTCCAGTGGTTCTCAACCTTCCTAATGCCGTGACCCTTTAATACAGTTCCTCATGTTGTGGTGACCCCAACCATAAAATTATTTTCGTTGCTACTTCATAACTGTAATTTTGCTACTGTTATGAATCGTAATGTAAATATCTGATATGCAGGATGTATTTTCATTGTTCACAACCCACAGGTTGAGAACCGCTGCTAGACTTTGGAAAAAGTTTGGGGAAATAGGGTTCATGTCTATATCTCCTCTCCCTGGATAATTTTAAATCAATTCTACACTTTTTAATTACTTTAAAAAGAACAAAAACTGGCCAAAATGGCATCTCTCAGATTGTAGAATGCAGTACACACTATCTATAATAATAAAAGTGTAATATGCTAATTAGACTGGACATCCTTCCAGACGACCTTCTGGAGGAGGCTGGGGCTGTGAGAGAAGCCCGGGTCCTGGGTGCTGGAGGGAAGCTTGGGTCCCAGGTGCCAGAGGGAAGCCAGTGCTGGTAGCTGGGGGAAGGAAGGCCTACTCTTGCACAAATTTCGTGCATCGGGCCTCTAGTAGAAACATAATGGTTGTGGATTTGATTTGATCCAGAGACCCCAAAATGGTAAGGAGGAAGGAACTAACATTTATTGAGTATTGTCATGCAATGGCTAGATAGATATGTCTATGTTGTTCCCTTTCGTTTTTTCAATATCTCTATGGCTGGATATTTACCATTTCAATTATAAGGAGACTGAGGCTCAAAGAGTTTAAAATTTGCTTGTCTCATGTCTCTGTCATACGCTTAATCCATGGCTTGAATCCAGGTCTTTCTGACTCCAAAGCCTATTTCTTCCTATTGAGAACAGTAATCTTTTCCAGAGTTTTTTTTTTTTAATATAAATTTTGGAGTTTGATTTGTAAAAGGTAAGGACAGATGACTTAATAAGATTCTCAGTTCTTTCACTTTTTCATTTAGGTCCTGAGAAAAAATTTAAAGCTCCCCAAAGCAAGGCTTTGGTAACCAGCTTGTCTGAAGAAAAAGAGGTTCTAATGGTGTCAGAGGGCCTGAACCTACCAGCTCATCACAGGGCCTGTCTTGCCACGGGGAAAGAAGAGCCTGGACCTCAAGAGCTACAGGAGGCTGGAAGCTTCCCTCCTGACGATGAAGCCTCCAGTGACCTGGATCTTGAGCAACTCATGGAAGATGTTGGAGAAAAGCCAGAGCAGAGGGTGGAGCTGCAGCATAGAGATGAGGAGGAGTTCACCTTCTTTGAGGAGTAGTTCTGTGCTCTCGTGTTCTCTTCCCTCTTCCCTGAGAGTAGGAGGGAGAGCCTCTCAAAGGGCCCCAGAGAAATATTGGGATTGGCCATTGACTACAAGATTAATTCGCTGAAGTCAGGGTTGTATGGTTTATGTGTTAATAAAATAGGTTACTGGCTTAATTGGTTTGGTTTGTCTCTAACTACCTTTTGGCTTCTCTCCCTCCTCCTCCATGTCACTAACATCATTGGTTCTGGTGGGAGGCCTGCACAGCATAGGAATCTGGGAAGGCAATGATACCTGAGTTCTGGGAGAAGGACATAGAAAAGGACAGGTCTGGGTTCAAATCCTGGCTCACCATTTACTAGCTATGTGGCCTGAGGAAAAGCACTGTAGCCATTCTGGTTCTTTGTTTCACGTCTCAAATGAGTACATCCAATACCATATAGGGTTGTTAATGTTTAAATGAGGTAATGCATAACACAATACATGCCAGTTATTATTATAAGGGAAGTAGAGTGGTTAGACTGGGGGGCAGACCTTGGGTTCCAGGCTGCCTACCAGTGTTTGGTAACATTGTTTCCAGGCCTGAGGCAGTGAGCTATCTATTATAGTTCATTTTTGGTGAGAAGGAGAGAAGTTGAAGGTGACATCAATTTTTTTCTTAGATGCATGCAGGCAAATCCTACAGGTACTTTTATTTTTGTGGGCAAGGGAACAAGACGAAGAGGGAACTGGAGCAGATGGCTGTTTTTCTTTGGTCCTTGGTGGCCTTTGACCCCTGTGGCTTCTGAGTCATCTGTGTCTGGCTGGGATTATTATGGGAAGTGGTGATCCTTCTGTGCAGCTTACTCTAAGGAGGTCATCATTCAGTCACACTCCTTAGGTCTTTAACATAGAGTATAGGGTCTCTTCCTGGGGGCTCTCGTGGAGAAGGTGGCTAGGAGGTGCTGTCGGTGAGGGTGAGGTTGAGTTGGAGAGGGTAAGGGAGGCATAGAGGATGCCGTCAACCTGCGTGAGAACAGAAAGAGAAGGGGGTTAGAAGTGGAGGGGGAGCTGACCTCATCTTACATAGTGATCTCATACCTGAGTGCCCTGCTGATACCACAGTCCCTCTATTCTTTCCACCCCTACTTCTCCAAGCTTCTCTTTAATTCTTTCAGGCTCCAGTCTGAGCTACTTACTTTTGGGTCCAGCTTGGAGTCTCTATGTAGTCCTAAAAAAATAAAATAAAAATGTACCAGGATCAGAGGCATGGCAGCCAAGGTAGAGAAATGGGCAGAGGGCTCAGTAGTGAGGTCATCTGCTAGGTCAGGACTAGGGTCATGTGGGAGGGATGGGTGAGGCATGGGAAAGAGGAAAACGCTGAGGGGCACGTGTGTGGGGAGAGAGTGTGAAAGGAAGAAGGAAGGGCCAAGGTGGAGTGTGGATGGTGGTAGAACTGACCTTTATGCCCAATGTTCTCGTACTTCTCCTCAGGGTTATGGAAGGATCCCCTGCATGGGAAGGAAAGGGTGGGAATTGTGTTAGAGGCTGGGCAGAAAGGAGTCAAAACCTGCATCAGGCTGGTTCTCTTGGGGGTTCTGCGACCTGCTTGGACCTACTCAGAAGATGTAGGCATTGGTTTGAGGCTCTCAGAAGGAGGCTGCCTGGAAGAGCTTTGAGAGGCAGTGTGTGGTGTAGCCCAGGAGAGGCCCCTGAGTGCCACCTGAAGGAGGGCTGTTCTAGGGAACTGCTGCTGTAGGAAGGGGCACAGGAGGAGAAACCAGAGCGGTGAATTCCTGTCCTCTCTGCCTCGGTTAAAACTGGAGAAGGAAAACTAGCGACGCTCATCTCACAGCCTCTGGGTGGGTGCTCAGGCCTCGGTCCCCAGGAGGAGACACCATCCTGGGATGGGTGAGTAAGGCCTCTGGCAAAAGTCAGGGAGGGAGAGAAAGGTGGGAGGGGGTTTAGGGAAGGGAAAGTGTAGAAATGGGAAGAAGGATGGAGAAAAGGAAACGGGTGGGAGGGTGAGGAGGACCAGTGCTCAGGGCAGGAAGGAGATCCCAGCACAGAGGAGAGGAGGCCAGGCTGGGAGCTGAGGGGGGAAGGTGCTCTGAGAAAAGGCAGATGGCAGAGATGATGGAGGTAGATGATTCTGTGGCCACTATGGGTGCATCACCAGGGGAAAGGCAGATTGGACAATGAGCAAGAAAGAGGAAAAAATGGGGAACAGGAAGATGTGGGAAGGATGATGTTCAAGGTGGAAAGAAAATAGGATGAACAGAAGGAAAAGCTGAGAAATGGCCATGAAAGGAGGAGAAGGGGGTTACAAAAGAAAGAGAAAGGGGAGACATTCTGGGAAAGAATTACAGAAACTGCTGGAACTCCTAGGTCCACTGTTCTTGATTTTTTAAAAAAATTTTTGGCTTGTTTGCTTTTTAGGAGCCGGAGTCTCAGGAAATGTAGAGCCTAACCTGTTGGGGACATATGAGGATGTGGATGTTAATGTGAAAGTGGAGGATGAGAATAGCTGTGAAAGACTCCCTCACACTGTTCTCATAAGGACACTTCCTGTTTCCCGAACCAGCACCCCCATTGGAGGGCAAGCACTCACCTGTCTGGGGCTCTTGCTTTCTTTCCACCTTGAACATCATCCTTCCCACATTTAGTCTGCAGACCTGTAGAGGAACCAACAGCATGTCAGTGTGCCATCCATGAACAGCATCTCTCCTCCTGCCTTTCTGCTTCATCCTACTCTGAGACCATCCTTGGATAAACCAGGGCAGCAAAGCAGCTCTGCTGAAACCCCTGTTGGAAGGGCCTAGGACTCAGAGTGGCACCAGCTGGCATCCTGAGGCTGCCCACACCTCTCCTGCTTTTGTCCTCAACACCAAATCAGGAGAGCAGCTCTTCTCTGCACCCTGTGCCCCCTTCACCCTCCCCTCTCTCCCTAACTTTCCCTCTGCTTCCTTCCTCTTTCCTTCAACTCCTTGCAATCCCTCAACCTTCTCCTTCCACTGCTGAGCCTGGCCCACCTTCCCTCCCTTCCCCCCCTCAGGCACCATCGCTCCTCCTGCTGTGACAAACCAGCTTCTTATGCTTTCCTTTGAGTGGTGGCTGTTTCTCTCTCCTACCTCTGAACCTCAAGGCTGGAATCTGTGTTTACACTGCAGCCTGTCCCTCTCTTCCACCGAGGACTCTGTTGTTCCTCCCCACCTCCCTGCACTCTCCCCCACCACCTCCTTCTCAAATCTCTCTACAGCATTTCCCAAGCATTTGGCCCTGGTTCACACACATCCTCTCCACCGCTGCCCACCTTCCTGTGAGGTCTCATCATCCACAGGGACCATCCTCTCAGGCACTGGACTCACCCATCCCCCAACTCCAGTGACCTCCACTCCACTCTGCCATACCTTGGACATTATTTTTTTTAATCACTGGGAATGAAAACTCTGAAATAGTAAATGCTAGTATTATTTTTATGCTGTAGCTCTGTTTCCTCCCAGCCCTCTTTTGTCATCATCCCCTCCCCGTACACCTGTGCTTTGACCTCCCTGAACTCTTGTCCCCTGATAACCCACTTTCTTGCAGGTTATCCAGGCTGAGAGTCTTCCACTCTCCATTTGTGCCCTTTCACCAGCTTCCTAACCTCCTGAGTTCCCCTGTCCTGCCACACTGAGCTGACAGATCGCCAATCCTTCATGTGTCTATGGCACGGAATGCTGCTTGCTTACCCAATATCCATTCACCTCCTCTTACTCAGTTACAGAAACTTGATTTTATTTGGAGTGGCAGTGTGCGCCCCTATGGATAGACGTGGGACATATTATATTCTGGCCAATAAGATATAAGGGAAAATATGGGTAGGACTTCCAAGAAGGCTTCTGGACTATATCACATTTTTTCTTCATCTCTGACCCTTATCCTTACTGTCAGGAGAACAGATAACTGGGGTATAGTCTTTTGTAGTTTCCGTCTTCCTTCTGTTTCCCATTTAGATTCAGAAATAATGGCTGGAATCTTTGCAGCCACCTTGGACCATGAGGCAGCCCTCAGGGTAGAATCCTGTATCCAGGACAGTTAGCAGAAAGGTAGGAACCTGAGTGCCTAAGGACTGATTTCCTGTGCTGCCTGCTTCCAGTTCCATTCATTCATTCATTCATTCATTCATTCATTCATTCATTCATTTATTTAATATGTTTTTATTTATTTCATAGAGAGAGGGACAGGGAGAGATAGAAACATCAGTGATGAGAGAGAATCATTGATCGGCTGCCTTCTGCACGCACCCCACTGGGGACCGAGCCCACAATCTGGGCATGTGCCCTGACTGGGCATGTGCCCATGACCTCCTGGCTCATAGGTCGAAGCTCAACCACTGAGCCACGCCAGCCAGGATTTTTTTATATGAGAGAGAAAAAATCTCTCTCTCGTATCTAAACCACGGCTACTTGTGGTCTCTGGAGCTAGCAGGTGAACACAACTCCTAACCAATGAGTCTTAAAGGTTTCTAAACTGCATGGCTGAATACTGGTGGGGAAAAACACAAGCATGTGCAATGATGCTTTCACAGATTTATGGCTTCATGCCTAATCAAATCCTTAAATACTATCTTCCATTTCCTCAGTGACTATATTACATTTTCTCTTCATCTCTGACCTTCATCCTCACTCTCAGGAGTAGCCACTGTGGTATTTTCCTTGCTGAATGAAAAAAAATCCCTATTTCTTATGCAGTTGAATTTATCAATATTTTTGTTTATTACTTTTTGACTTTGTATCATACTTAGGGAGGTCATCTCCACTCCATGCTTCCAGCACTATGTATTGAATTACTCAGTTGTCCCCATTGATTACCGTTTAATTTACTAAATTCTTGCATATATTTGAGTCTATTTTTATCCTGCCTATATTTTGAGTTTTTCATTTTCTTCCATTACTTTATCTTTTATCTGTTTGTTTATTATGTGCTAGTATTGCAGCTACTCTAAATGCATTATGCTTAATTGTCATGACAACCCTGGGGTAATTACTAATATTATCCCCATTTTACTGATGAGTAAGTTGAAGTACAGAGTAATAGTACCACTGTAACAGAGTTGACCCAGCCAGGATTGATTGCAGGCAGTCAGATTTTATGCTCTTCAGCTTTGTGCTTTAATATCTAAGAGGGCAGCCTGGCCAGTGTGGGTCAGTGGTCGACCTATGAACCAGGAGGCCATGGTTCAATTCCTGGTAAGGGTTGTGAGCTCCATCCCCAGCATGGGGTGTGCAGGAGGCAGCCAATCAATGATTTTCTCATCATTGATGCTTCTCTCTCCCTCTCCCTTCCTCTCTGAAATAAATAAAAATATAATAGAATAACTAAGAGGGGAAATCTTGTTGCAAATTTTTAAAACGTAATTTAAAATCAATTTTGGATGCTGTTGGGGCATAAATAATTAATGCCTCTAACCCTGCCCTCTCTTTGAGCTATAAATGCAAACATCCAAATTTCTGATGGACATCTCTACTCACCTGCCCATACAGGTATCTCAAATATAACATATCCCAAATTAGAGGAATCATTTTTCTCCCCCAAATCAGGCTTTTAACTTGCTATGGTCCCTAATTCACTTGGTGGTTTCATTACAGCCTCACTCACCCAAGTTGCAAACATGGGACTTCTTCCTGCTCCCTTGCTGCTACATCAATCTAATCATCAAGTCTTACTGGCTCCCTCTTAACCTTTTCCAGAATCTGACTCTCTCCACAGACCTATGTATCTGCAAGGTGAAGTGTGTAGTTGCCTCTTGGCTGCTTCATGTTGCTTCTGGAATCTTGGATGTGATTTATGAGGTCTTCTTTTCCATAGCACTGAGCTGTACACTTAAATATGGTTAAAATGGAAAATTTTATAGTGTGTGTCTTTTGCCACAAGCTACTTTCAGTTCCCAGAATGGTTTCCTGTGCTTGGAAGAACAGAGATCTCTATACCACCCTCACCGCTTCCCTGGCTAATTCTTTTTTATTCTTTGAGACTTTTTGCAGATGTTACTTCTGGAAAGTCCTCCTTGGTTCCTCTCCTTCCTCCCAATCTACCATAGTTCTTTCCAAGTGAGGCAATTAGCCCTTGAAGTACCTCCTGTTCTCTCTGAGTTCCTTGAAAGCAAGGAACTGCATGGCTGAGTACTGGTGGGGAAAAACACAAGCATGTGTAATGATGCTTTGTGCATGAGTAGGGTCCCTAGGCCTGGAGGGCGATCAGGGCTGATCAGGGCCTTCCGGCTACCAGCCAGGGCCTTCCTTCATTCTGCGCCACACCCTGATGGTCAGTGCACGCCATAGTGAGTGATAGAACTCCCAAGGGGACACTTTGCATATTAGCTTTTTATATATATACTAGAGGCCCAGTGCATGAAATTCGTGCACGGGGGGAGGGGGGGCGGTGTCCCTCAGCCCGGCCTGCACCCTCTCCAATCTGGGACCCCTTGGGGGATGTCTGACTACTGGTTTAGGCCCGATCCCAGGGATTGGGCCTAAACAGGCAGTCAGACATACCTCTTGCAATCCAGGACCACTGGCTCCTAACCACTCACATGCCTGCCTGCCTAATGCCCCCAACTGCCCTCCCCTGCAGGCCAGTTCTCCCCCAACTGCCCTCCCCTGCAGGCCTGGTCGCCCCCAACTGTGCTCCCCTGCTGGCCTTATTGTCCCCAACTGGTTGTCCCCAACTGTCCTCTCCTGCCAGCCTGGTCACCCCCAACTGCCCTCCCCTGCCAGCCTGGTCACACCCAACTGCCCTCCCTTGCAGGCCTGGTCCCCCCCAACTGCCCCCCCCTGCCGGCTTGATCATCCCTAACCCCTTGCCAGCCTGATCTCGCCCCTAACTGCTCTCCCCTGCCAGCCTGATCACCCCTAACTGCCTCTGCCTTGGGATTATTAGTATAGATAGATTATATAAGCTCGTCAGATGTCGGAAGATGTCTGGTCGGCCTGATCTAATTAGCATATTACCCTTTTATTAGTATAGATTATTAGTATAGATAGATTATATAGGACTAGTAGTCCTGCACACATATCCGAGCGCCAGTATGTCACTGCTGCCCTCCTGTAGCTCTCCACCCGCTGCTAGACCCTCCTGTAGCTCCCCCTCCCCCCCCCCCCCCCCCCCCCTCTCCCTTCTTCTTT